AGAGGATTTTATGGCCCACTTTCCTTTAGCTTTTCCTGAAAATATCACAAATAGTGCGTTGGAACCCTGGAAAGACTTGGTTGTCTCTAGACATGTGCACAACAAAAACATTTGTTTTCAAACGAAAAATGTTTTTATTCGTTTTGTCAAAGGAAACACAATTTTATGTTGTTTCGGAGGCCTGCGAATCCGAACACTTAAACCGTAGAACAACCAGTGGCCGTTGGCACGCTCTGCACATTCGCGCTGCCATTTTGGAGATCTTGGTATGCACCAACATGGCGGCTCCCGCATGTTCGAGCGCCGCCATCTTGGTGTATACCAAAATCTATAAAAAATGTTCAGCACGGGATGTCACCGTCTTGTGACATAACACTCTCCACCTCCAAGATGGTGACGGGCATGCACAGAACACGCCGGCGGCCAATATCTGCCAAATCAACTGATTTTTGTTGATTTGCAGGTTCGTCCGAATCCGAATGCACATGTCTAGTTGCTTCCAAATAAGTCAACAAGCATCTTCTAATGTCTAAGCAATGGGAGGTCCTTTCTTTGTCATTAGAAGGGTTGTTGCAAAAGGTCAGGAGAACTATATCTTGTGACCTATGAAAATTATAGGCGATCTTTGACAGAAATCCTGGATCAGTTCTGAGGACTACACAATCCTCAAATATCAAAAGACAAGGTTCCTGAATTGACAAGGCCTGTAATTCCCTGACCCTGCGAGCACAGGTAAACACAATATGTAGGGTTGTCTCCATTGTAAGTACTCTCAGAGAAGTCCCTTCCAAAAGTTTCAAAAGGAGAACCAGACAATCCCTGCAAGACTTAGGATAGATCCCATTGGGGACAGGACCTAATAGAAATAAGTAGGGATGCACCGATATATATCGGCCGCCAAAACATATCGGCCGAAAATTGCACTTTTGGCATAATGCCGAAAGTGCCATTTTCCTGCCGATACATTGGCGCATCCGTGATTTCTTTTCTCCCCGCTGGGCGCTGCTCTATGTCCCAGCGGGGAGAAGAGAAAGTGACAGCCGGCTGAGCGCTGCGGTGTAGAGCGCTGTGAGCGGCCAGCGTCTCCTCCCATACCGCTCTGCCGCCTATCACAGTCCGGCAGAGCGGTGTGGGGGCGGAGACAGCGCTGTCACAGGAGGCTGGGCTTTTCTCCCAACACCGCTCGATCAGCCTCCTGTGAAAGCGTGTCAGAGAGAAAAGCAAGGTACACACACTCAGTGATCGCTGAGTGTGTGTACATAATTAAGAATATGGTATGTTAACTATATCCTCAATTATGAATGAATGGGAGTGATGTACATCACCCTCATTCATTCATAATTGTAGTTATAGTAAACAAAAATGTACTCATATTATCAATGAACAGGAACACTCATAGAGGATTCCTGTTCATTGATAACAGGGGACACAGAAAAAGAGATTGAGGACTTTGTGTTCTCTTTTTCTATTTTAAAAGGGAAATATCAGGGGTCTGTTTAGCCCCCTTATATTTCCCAGAAGCCCCTAAAAGTAAAAGTAAAAATATTTAATAAAAAATGAATTAATAAAAATATAAAAAAATTAAAAAGTTTATAAAAAATAAATAAAAATAAAAAACCATAAAAAACATTTTCGGTATCGGTTTCGGCCTGACATTTTTAAAAATTTCGGTTTTAAAATTTCCATTTCGGTGCACCTCTAGAAATAAGTCTTAACCTTTTCAAGGCTTTCTAAAACCTAACAATGAGAGGGTCTACAAAAAGAGTTACCTGTAGGTAGACGCTGAGAGCTGCCACCTGGACCTTAAAGGAGAACTATGAGATGAGTGATTTCCACTCATCCTCATAGTTAGAGCCGAAATTTGACATTGAAACTGTCACACGTCGGCTCTATAGATTGGGAATTGAGCGAACACATGCCTTCTGTTATACACCTTCTTCCTTTTATCTTTGAAGGCTTTTTTCTTGTCTGCCGTACACTTCAATGCAGCCTCCCGATCTGGACGAAGAGCAGATCCCCTGAATAAGCTGGGCTTAAGGTGCCCAGCACTGACAGCTATGGGACCGGAAGTGATACAATCTGTAGCCCCTTCCACAAAAGGGTGGAAGTCCCCTACAAACATGGGAGCTGTGGCTTCTGCCCAAAGCAGGCCAGAAGTCGTGGCCTTAAGTACCAGCCAGCCCAACCGTGTGGTGCGTGCACCAGCGGAAGGCAACATAAACTGAAGTGAAGGCTGCAGCTTCCGGCAGCAGTAGTCCACAAGCCACAGCCTAAATTTCCAGCAGGCCCAACTGCGTGGTGAGGACACCCACAGAAAAGTTTGGAGGCAGATGACACTGGCTATGCTAAAAGCAAAAAGAAGCCCAGCCAACTGGCAGCACCATATACTATGAGTAAGGACAAACTGCCACCAGAGCAGCAATCCAGGGTTGGTAAATGCCACTGGATGTAATCAAGATAACACAGGCTGGCCGCAAGAGGATCCCTGATAAGCAGAAGCATCCTTTAAGAAAAAGGGTGAAGAGTTTGGAGAAGGCAGGAGAAGTGAACAATCTAGGACAGGGGCGCCCACAATTTTTTTGTCTGGAGATCTACTTTTCAAATGACGAGCTCAATGAGATCTACCAACAAAAAAACACCTGCGTTCAGGGGCGAGGCAGTGCATTGAAGTCAATTGAAGTGCATTGAAGCCACCCACGTCCCCCCGTGGGCTGGAATGCAGGCACTAATGTGCCTGCTTTCCAGGTGTGGGTGATCACACTGTGGGCGTGGCTGCGGTGACATTGACTTTAATACAACTTCTCGCCCCCGAACGCAGGGAGCCGGCCGGCTTGCATTCCAGCGTGTTCTAGAGGCCGAACACTCTGGAACGCAGACTTTGTGGTGTAACCCCCGTCCTCTCTTCTCTCTCCCGTTTCTATCTGCTGTCTCTTCTCTCTCTCTGCCGTCTCCTCTCTCACTTTCTCTGCTATCTCTCCCGTCTGCCTTTTCTTACCTCCACTGCAACAGCTTCCCAGGTCTACTCTTGTGCGCCGGCGTCCTGTCCTCCCGCAGTGCTCGTGTGGCCGACATTGCACACGGGGAGAGGTGTTCTGCCACTTCCCATCTGCGGCATCTGACACATTCAGCCGGCAGCTGCGTGAGCACCACGGGAGCAGAGCTGTAGCTAGCTCCTTTTGCGTCCGAGGCAAGAAAAAAAAAAAGTGCCCCCTCAGCAGGCGTGCAATGTCACCCAGCCTCCAGGATGTGTTTTTTACATTAATTTATTATTTTTTACATTTTAATGTTGATGGGGCTTCGCGGAAATATAGGGGTCTAAACAGCTACAAATATGTGTGGCGCATGGGAGCCGCAGTGGTTTTTTTGTCCATAGCAATGCATGAACAGAAAACACTGTACTCACGTAAAGCCGTTTGAATGGGGGTAAGCGTCCAAACTGGGAACTTCCGCATGGAGAAATGTACTCCTATGCATGTGCAAACACCAATACTGGCGTTAGACCTAAGTGACAGCATCTTTGAGCGTTTTGTGTAGCACGTTCCTCCACTTTTTTTTTTCTTAGGCGCATTTTACAGTGTACGAACATAGGCCTGTATTTGCTCTGGAATATGCCCATGTGCATGACCCCTGAGCATTGTTTGTCACTGTTGGAAACACTTGTTCTTATTTTTCGGTATTTACGACTTTTTCCAAGCATGGAAAAAACTATCCAGCTAACATGGCACTGGATAACTAGTTTCCATTTCGTAATTCATAATGTAGTGTTTAGTATCTACTGTGTCCCTCATGCTGAGCACATTTCTCGGTGAAGCTATTGCACAGGTCTTTGTTTAAATGACGACGGACCGTAATCGGTGCCGGTAATAAGCACGTCCGCCTGCAATACCTTCAAATCACGCACACTAGCACTCGCTTCTGTCCTGAAACTAGCCAGCTCACGTGGAAGACTAAACGGGTCAGTCAAGGGTTCCATTTATTTGAACAAACGCCTGCAGATTGTGTACGAGAAGTGACCATGTCGGTCATGAGTGCAGCCACATTGTAAACGTCTTTTTGTGAAACCGTTGCGCTGGTTCTAATACAAGCACGTTTTTTTCTTTTCACACGGCGCCATCTTCACACGAGTTCTACTACAACCTGCAAAACGTTTTTCCTTCCTCGTGTTGATTATACAAGGAACAGCGGAGTTAAGAAAACACCGCTGCAGCGAATGATTTATGAAATGATTGCAACTCTATTAACAGCATATTGTGGTATAGCTGCACATTAAACAAAGCTTTCATCGTTACACAATATGGCGCCCTCACCGCCACCTCGCTTTCTTCCTGCAGCTCAGTGATGTACAGCCAATCACAGTACAGACCGCTCTCCCGCCCGCGCTACAGTAGCTACTCTGTCCTAGTAAAGACCGCGCATATTTAGTAGCTGGAAGGGGGGCTTTTACCAGGCCTTTTTCTGATATACCAATATGTAAAGAAAAAAAAAAGAATGCATCTACCGAGAAGGAAGCAGATGGTACAATCCGCCGTGCTCATGAATTATTCATGCAGTGGGCGAGGCTACACGGGCTATATAAGCAGGAGCCCAGGGCTCATTGTTCACTCTGCGTTGCTGTTTCCTGACTGTTCTGTATTTTCTGTGGATAAGGTAATATGCCGCCGCACTTGGTTGTTTGGCCTCTACGTGTATTTTACACTGTAAGCATGCACGGGCGGTTTCTTTTAGTGCTAATGTGATGTTCGTTGTACAGCGGGGCGATGAGGGTTTCTTCTATTTGTGTACACGGGGTTGGGTGCCGGGATGGAATTCCCGTGCTGTGAGCGATCCTGGCTTCTTTTACCACGTTCTTGGGCTCGTGTTCCCGGCGGCGGTTGCTACCGGGTAGTGGCCGGTGACGCAGTGGGGAGGATCTTGCGGGAAAGTGACGAATAATGGTCGGCGGCCATTTTGTGAACACGTTGGGCTCATGTGCCGGCGCCATTTTGTTTCCTCACAGATCTCATCATGTCGTCTGATGATGGAAAGCTTTTTATCGGTGGCCTTAGCTTCGACACAAACGAGCAGAGCCTAGAAGAAGTATTCTGTAAACACGGACCGATCGCTGAAGGTGAGTTTATATGAGTATTTTATTTGCATTTATGGCCTCTTTCCGTCCCTGGGCTTTAGTGACTTGTGTTTTTTTTTTCTTTTAGTGGTTGTGGTGAAAGATCGGGAAACCAAAAGATCTCGTGGATTTGGTTTTGTTACATTTGAGAATCCTGACGATGCAAAGGATGCAATGCAGGCAATGAATGGAATGGTAAGCTTTTAGAATTGCTGAAGTTGGGTTTGTGCAAATGTAAAACTGAAATGTATGGGGGTTATTTATAGGTACATAGACTGAACTCCCTAAAACATTCAGATTTTTCTGTTTAATGGATTTGTATTGCTTTTCCTCCCCCCCCCTTTTTTTTTTTTTTTGCAGACAATAGTTTTTGTTTGCAGTCTGTAAATCTTTAAGCATAAGCCATTTTACAGAGCCTTATGTGCTTGGCATGGTTTTTTGTTTTTTTTTTTCTAACCTGTAATCCTCATTAAAAAAATAATAAAATCTAATCTGTTTGTTTATAATGCTGCAGAAAATGAAGGTTGATGCCTCCTTAGTGATTTAAAACAGAACCCAGTGTCTGTGCTAATGAAAATAAAGCCAAGTTCTGGGGGGGCACTTTTTTTTTTTCTGTTCACTTAAAGTGTTTTCAAACTAATAAGTGTTCTATTTTTGTAACCACTGAGAAATGATTGTGATTAAGTGTGGAGTTTTTTTTTATGCAGCTGTTAACTTTTGCCTTTTTTAATTTATTTTAGTCTGTGGATGGGCGTCAGATTCGAGTTGATCAAGCTGGAAAATCCTCTGGTGACAGAAGAGGAGGCTTCAGAGGTGGCTCATCTGGTGGAAGAGGACCTTTCCGTGGCGGAAGAGGTCGTGGTAGGGTTTAAAAATCAGTAACGATGTATGGCCTCGTGAAATTAGCAATGTCTGTACGCTGGTCTGTACTAGACATTGCTAATTTCACAACGCTGGTAAAGATAGCATAGCATT